ATATATATATATATAAAACAAACAATATGCGTGAATTTGTACGAACGTACCTTGCCACAATTAAATCTATTAAATTATGCTAAGAAAATAGTCATGATATACAACGTGAGCGCACGCGTATCACGTAACCCATTAACGCTCGAGAGGCAGAAAAAAATAATTATATACCTATAGGTACAGTCTATCTCTAACAACAAGTTAATGGATCGCGAAAGATCTTGCGTGCAGAAAAACGTGACGGTGCACTCACTGAAAGCTCTAAAGCGGACGATTAAATACGCCGCGACATACTTTAAGCGGCAATGCCGCGACGCACCCTGAGAGCGCAAAAACCAGGTACCAAAAGTAACAACTAACTCCTATACAAAACATCATTTCGTGATGTGTTTAATTTATAAACTTACTATACCGTACCAAAAGCACCCTTTGATTAAAGGCCATATTTTTCTTGATTCATTTAATTTTCCTACTCACACAACTTAGAGTAGTGAACCTATTTCACCCTTAAAACATTTCCAAAAAAAAAAAAACCGTGGTAATAGGATAATAACAATTAAATAAGATATTTCTGTCTATCTATAGAAAATTGCTTAAAGCTTGGTATTTAATCTCTCGACAGAAACGATTACCGATCATGCGTAAGCTCTTTTTAAGTGAATTTTTTTTAAGTAAATTGATTCTTTGCTATAAAATTTATGTAGATGATTGTTCGACTGATCTATGAGGACCCGAAAATTCCGGACTCACTCCCAAAACTTCCATAAGATAGCCTCGTTGAGCTACATACACCAAACAGTACATTTCCGACAGACGAAGCGCCGAATCATTGTACGATATTCGTTCCGTGTTCGCGTGAGGTTCGTCAGAAACTGACATTGGTTTACCTGGATATTAGATAATTATTAGAAGAATGAATAGTAACACTAAGTAACAACAATAACGTAAAATAACAACAGGATGTGTAATGGAATAAAAATCTTACCGCGACTAACATATTCGTAAATGATGTAATCATCTAGACTGGAGAATTCATTAGGAAAGAGACCTATCCAGTCCCCATTGCTTGGGATAAAATCTCTTTGTAGTTTGTAAGAGATAAAATTTTCCTCCACAATACAGTCTTGGAATTCCACAATGTTTTCTTCTACATTAGGTCTGACCTAAAAAAAAAAGAGTTTTATCATTCACATTTAGCTCGATAAGGAGAAATGTATAGCAAGACCGTATTTTTACCACGATATCAAATTCTCCAGTTACAGGTTTATGATCCGAGACACTGTAATCGGGATGGCTCTTGTAAGTATGCTGCTCAGTGTGAATTTCTATATCGTCATATATATCTGCTGCATTTACTTTGTATAAAATCCTATCGGTCCAAGATGGTCTACGCCTACATGAGAAATAAACGTAAACATGTCAAAATAACATTATATAAAACATATCAAAATATTTAAAAGAAATATTTATAAATTTTTCTTATATTTAATCAGTATAATTTACTTGAGATCAAATTCTTGAGACTCAAACTCGTATTTGTAGGTAGGCGGGAATGTAATGATACTTTCATTCAGTTCAGCAAAAGCTTGTTGCTCCTTCATTACCATCATTAACTGATCTCTTTCGAGGAGTTCCTTCAATTGCTTCTTTTTCACCAATAAGTCTATATCAGCGGCAGTTAAATCCTCTCCGTTGAGCCGAAAATTTAAGTCACCAATCCAAAATATATAGCTAATAGAAGATACGTATATTACTACCGAGGATGTAGTTAATTTTACTTAAATGATACAATCCTATTTCAATATAAAAATATTCATACTCATGATATAATATTCTCGATGTAAACGGAGCAGTGAAAGTGTGATCTGTCACGATGGTATTATAATCTGATACTCTATCAGCTAGTAAATGATCATGGGGAGTCAAATGTGTGTTCACCACGCAAATGCTGACCCCATAGATATTCATTCTTATGCTCACTGCACCCTTGTTTCCCTAAAAACAAGCAAGATAAGCAGATTATTGGTAGAACAGTAATTACTACATGCATGCATCTATTTTTTGTGGTACGACAAATTTTTCAAGCATGTTAATTGGCTGCAAGACAGAGAGGATCTCAGATCTCTTTGTCCTATAGCCAATAAGCTAAAAATTAATGAACAAAAAACAGGCGCATGTAATAATGACCTTACAGTGTCTTCTTACCCATATGCCACCAAAACCTGTCTTAGTATACTGAGTTTCTATCAATCTTAAGTGTGTCAAGTGTTTCCTTAGGCAAAAAACATTCAGAACAAGACCCTGTAATCGTTGCGAACGTACTTTTACATAATCATACTTCTTCAACACATCTCTGCAAAAACAAGTCAGAGTATAATTTTCATATCTTAAATGAATATACATAGTGAATAATTATATTCCTAATATAAGGGTTGCATCATCATAACAGACTTACCTAAAGGCTTTAGTCCACGGATCTTCAAATAGTATATAGTCTAATATTAAATTTTGTGGTTGTGATTTAACTTCCTGTAAACTGAAAGAACACACACTTTATCATCGAATCTGATCCAGAAAAACGTTTTGGACGTACCCGACAAAATATAAATCCGGCCACACCAACTTTGATTTGTCACAAGGTGTAATACCCAGAAGTTGATGAAGATCCTCTCTGGGATCTGGGAACTTCGTAGCTACATTGTACGTGATGAAGTAAATTCTATGAGGCGTTAAAAGGAACGTATTAAGAAACAAATTGTGTCTATTCTCTGCGAGATATAATCTATGGTAGCAGAAACACGTAACAGATCCAGTTACTCCTTACCTCAGCCGCTCCACTGAACATGCCATTTCGGAGGTTCTCGATGACATCGAGAGGGACAGGGAAATTTTACGAAGAATTTACGTAATTCGCGCAGATACAGAAATGGATTCACGTCGCGGTAACTCCGCACAACGCTGGAGATCGCCAGGTCATCGCCAGGTTAGGAACTCGCGCGCATTGCGTTCTTATTCTTTGTACTTTCACCCGCGGCTATGTCGGCCGCGAGAATACCGTCGCACCGCCAGCGAGGCTCGTCGCGTTCGTTGCATTCGCTGTCTCGAGCAACATCTGGTCACGCGATTCGATACGAGTGCGTCGTTTACGGAACCATATTGTTGACAAGTGCAGAGGGAAGATAGCTCCCCTCCTCTTCCGCCGCTCCACTATTTTTCCCCCCACTACGCTCGTTGTTCCACGTGACATCTGTCATTATGCGACTGCACTATTGCAGCTGCAGCTGCACGCGCTACCTTGACCGATCGCGATCGAGTATGCAGTTGGTCTACGTAGTCTACGATTTTCCTTCGTCATCACCGCGATCTCTGACCCCCTTGCCGCAAAGAGATAGGAAATCCGGTTAGCACTGTGTTAATAATCCTTTCGCGAATCTCGGATGATTCTTCATCAATCAAACGGTGCTTTCCAGTAAGAGACACAGCGTGAGAAATTATTTCTAAGAAATTGATCAATTTATAAGAAATTCACCAATCATAGTTGAATGTGAGGAGAATGAAGCCGATTATTCTTCTCACATTTAATTGTAAATAGCCAATTTTTTATTATAGCTTATGGCATAAGTTAACAGTTTATTTACGCCTTACGGCATGTATAAATGATCCTTAATATAGTGATCATTTCATCTGTGTTCAACATCGACAAAAAATAAAGATGTAATGATTCACTGTGTTACACTGTGTCATCTGTGTATGTTACTGGAAAGTAGCCAGACTTTGATTAATTCAATTGGCGATTAACTTGTCAAGTAAAGAAGGCCCCAATATAAGATTAACTTTCATCTCGGTTTCACTTAGGTCCGATTCCACCAATGTAAAATTAACCTCAGTTCAATTTACGCTTCATTCTTTTTTTTAATTCTTACTGAAAAAAAAAAGATGAAGAGTAAGAACTGAGATTGAAGTTAATTTACATACATTGGTAAAAATAGGCATTACTGTGTGTTTACGTTTTTCTAGTTCTTGAAATTAGAAAAAGGTAAAGAATAAATTGAACCGAGATTAAAGTGGTGAAACTGGAATAAGGCTGGTATTATATTTTTATCATACGACACATTTCCAAAGTCTATTAATTGAATAGAAATAAGGAAGAGAAATTCGAGAAGGATCTTTCTATTTTCCTGCAACCTTGTCCTGCAATCAATTAACGCTTGAAAAATTTGTCGTACTATAAATATAATATTAATATTAACTTAATTAATGTTTTTGTGTACGGAGTTATTAACTTCTTGTCGCTCGATACGTAGAAGAAGTTATTATAATTTTTGTTTATTTCTACTAATTGTAGATAAATTTAACTTACTTTTTATCTTTTTCTAGCTTTAAACATTAGAAAAAGTTAGTGAATAAATTAATTCTCCATGTGCAATCTGAGTCTTTCTTAGCACAAATAAAATTTACTCTCAAATTTCACCTTTAATTTTGTCCAATTTCAATTTTTATTAAATAAAAGTTTTAATATTTGAGTTAAAAGATATTTGATTAATGTAATGGACTGGTTGAAAAGTATAATCCTGATTTTATTTTTCAAGTAGTAAAAAAATTTGGGCTAGACAAAAAAATTCAGATTACAGACAGGAATTAAATCGAGATTACAATCAATTTATGATTGATAGAAATGGAACATTTGTCGGTTGAATTAATCGCCGCTTAAGTTAATCGAAGTTTGATTGATAAGCCGCCCTCGAAGAATCGATTTTCCTTGGAAAGTCTAAAATTCTGACGCTCGCAAGAAGTACTATTTACAACGAGTTTTATTTCTCAATTAATTAAAAGGATGGTTGACGCGAATGTTCTCAAAGAGATTGTGTTATCTTATCAAAGAGATTCATCCGCAGGCATCGAAGGTGAGTGGAAAATGATGTTCTCGTATTAATAAAAAAAAAAAAAAAAATGTGTCGTAACATTTATTGCGTTATTCTGGAGGGACGTACACTTCAGGTTCATCTATTGCTCGCAGCGATCTGCAATTGATCGCGTACGCGTCTCTGGCGGGATAACACTCCCGCGATGATCGTCCAAGTTACAAAGAAGTACTATGTAGAATCGTTCACTAAGATTCTGATAACGACGATTATTTACAATCAGAATAACGAGAGATCAACAATCGCGCGCTTGTGCGTGATTTAATCTTAAGACACGACAGGCATATATAGTCTTGTCATCAACGATAAGATTCGCCCTTTCAGTACATCATTCCGGGATGGGCAGCCCTTTGGAAGAACACGTTGGGATTGGCCGACAAGGTCGTGTAGAGATTCCCAGCATCCTCCGGCCTCAAGTACATACCGGGTGGCAAAACGAACGTCTCCATCGGTCCATGTACATCTGGAAATAGTATAAGAGTACAGGATAAAGCAGGGTAATTTGAATAAGTTAATAGAAATTTTCGAATCGTATGAAAAATTGAGGTCGTACAGTTGTATTCATTGAAATTAAACACATACATAAAGAACGCACCAATAGTGCATGTTTGATCGAATGTATTATGTGACCTCAATCTTTCATAATTCACAATTTGAAAATTTCTGTTAATCCACCCAAATTACTCCGCTTTATCCGAAATGTTTTCTTGTAACGATGTTTACTACGAATAATTAATTTAGTGTAAAAGAGAAAATATCCAAGGCTGATGGAAAATTGGAACGAATCACCTTTACGGCATCGCCTCGCGTTTATGCCTATCGGAAACGTTTTATTATTTGGTATCAATCGGAGAAGCGAATATCCGGTCGTAACTTTCCATGCCGTGTGTCTAGTGGCTATCATTTTCGCCTCGCGATAATAAATGAATTTACAATATCGAGATATACGCAGGAATCGAAATCACGTTGTGCATAACCGGGACGAAGCCCTCGTTACGCCGCACGCGTTAAGCGCGACTGTAATTTAAAATCGTCGGCTTAAAGTAGGTCTCGTTGTTCGCAGCTGTCAAGCTTACAAGATTACGCGAGTTCGTCTTTGCCCTCGACACGCGTAGCCTAATCTGTAATTATACCCTACTATCGATACGCTCTTTAACATAATTTCTTAAACAATTGAAACAAAATTATCTTTGGAGAAAGAAAGTGTAAATTTACAGATACATTGTTTCTTTCGTAAGAATTCATCGGAGGTTTCTTTTTCCTTACATTTTCATATTACATTATTTCTTCTGTATTGTTTTCTTTACGGAGAAAATATCACAAGTGGAAGAGAGAAAGTGAAATAGAAATATAAATTGTATAAGAAATATATTTTTTTATAATACTTTGTTGAATATAACGGCATTATTATTCATCACTGTGGCAATTAATATGTTATATTAATATTAATATAATAATAATTGAAATATATTACACACACACACTCACACACATATATGCATATTTTTTATTACATTAGCAAAGATTACAGTACACATTATAAAATGTTATACAAGTATTTTCAACTATGTTGCATATAAAAAATTGCGAACGTATAACAAATTATATGTGCAACACCGTTGTAATCATCGTTTCTGTTAAAATTACTATCGTAACTTTCATGTACTCGGATTGTAAGATCTCTTTCTCGCTTTAGTGAAATCTGGTTATTCGAAATTGTACCTTAAGACAACACGAATAATTGCATTAATCTTTCCATACGATACGAAGTGTAATGTGTTAAATAAAAATATTCCAATTGCCGTATAATGCCGTCATAATCATCGATATGTTCTAGAGCGAATAAAAAACAAAAGTTTGATTACTATTTTTATTAAGATATTTCCCTGGTGTCTACATGGTGTTACGTTACGCGCTACGGACTAATGATAAAGGAAGCTTCTGTCAGAGAGATGTCGTGGCTTCGCGTAATGAGAGGGTCGTGAACCAGCACGTCGGTGTACCTAGTCTGAAGAGGCTAGCGACCTTCGTCTCTCTCTCTCTCGTAATCTCTTGCACATTTCACGCCTTGCTCGTAATAACGAGCCTCGCGAGGAACGCAAAGAAATCGTATCGCGTCGGGAGATGCGTGTGCAGCTTATCGACGGAATAACGTCCGCGAGAAATTGCTTGCTCTTTTACGAGAACAGGGCCGTTATCGAATCCTCGGGCGAAAGTGGCATGTTTCTCGATTTCTCGAAGATTCGACGCGAAGATCGGTATATATACGGTTTAACGGCCGCGACCGTTGGAGTACACTCGTTACGAAGTGCCTACGTCGTTCCTCGCTGAATGGACACGCGTCGGGGTCTTTAACGTAAATGCGTATCGCGCGTAGGTGAAAGTCATCCAGCTGCGATTTATGATCCAACTATGATCTACGTCGTCATGTTGTACATACAAACGCGCGCGCGTTTGAGAAACGATCGCGATTCGCATCGCGACGAGATACTTTTTCTTTCTCGCCTTCCTTTGCATTTGTTTCTTTTTTTGCG